ACACACACACACACACACACACACACACACACACACACACACACACACACCCTTTACCGTTTTTCCTTTTCGTGGCGGCGAACGCGTTCGAGCAGCAACGAAAACGATGGGCAGGCCACGACACCACAAAATAGTGGCGCCAGGATGGTTTGCGACACACACCCACACAGCACCATCGCACCTTCCATGCATGTGATTGGCAGACATGCATGGGCATCCCGTTACACGTTTTTACTTTCAGACCACCACGCACAACAGAACACACACAGCACACACAGCACGCAAAACAACACCTCAGGTCCCCACAAGTCTGTATCTATGCATCAACGGCACCCTTCTCATCATCATCATCATCATCATCATCACCACCACCGGTCAGGCGCTCGTCTGCGCCAAACTCAAGCTCCATCTCGCCCTCCTCCTGCCGCTGCTGCGCAGCAACAAGCATGTGCGAGGCAAACGAGAGCATGTGCGTGTTGTCATCGCAGAGGCTGCCAAGCGTCTTGTGGTGCTCTGTAATGGCCTTTTGCAGCTCGCGCATGACGGCCTGCATCGTCGCCGATTCCTCCCGCAGCCGTCGCCCGTGCACATTGAACACGTGCATCACCCACGTCATGTAGAATGCTGCAGGCACAGCACCACAACAAGCAGCACCACCACCAGCGTGAGCACTCTTCTCAAGGAATCGAATGGATACAACGAGCGACAACGCACGCACAGAAAAGAAATCACACAGCAGCATCCAACACACACACACACATTCCCCCACACACAACGCGCACACAACGCGCGCGCGCACACACACACACACACACACATACACACATACACACATACACACATACACACACACACACACACACACACAACTGACCAAGGTGGCGAGTGGAAGGAAGAAGGCGTGCGATTGCGCGGAGAAGCGGCTCAATGTGCACAACCGGCAGCAGCTCCACAACAACCTTCACGGCCGACGGTGGGATGGTCTCCAGCACCTCTTGCACAAGCGCCTGCTCACTCAACCTGTCCAAGCATTCGCACAACACAACACAACATGTCAGGTTTTGATGCTACCGTTGTTGTGCATACTTCCATCGACACAACCAGCCACAAGAGACACACACCACGGCCCGCAAACAGACATGAACGAAGCCAGCAAGAGCACGATTCGTTTCCCAGCAGACGCAGACACACACACACACATACATACATACACACACGCGCACGCACGCACACCTGAAGGCCATTGAGAGGGCCTTTGGGAAGTCCTTCTCAGCGAGGATTTCGCGAACAGTAGCCGGCGTCACGTCGACATCGAGGTCGTACGGGTCAAACTGGACACTGGTGCGGCGGGGAATTTATGCGTGTGCGTGCGAGAATGTGTGAGAACGACAAAGAGCAAGCAGCAATCGAAGAAGAGCAAGCAGCAATGAACACCAGGCATGCAGATGCCTTGCGTACGTAGAATACACACACACACACACACGCGCGCGCACGCGCTGTCTCTCTCGTGTTGCGAGTGAAGTCAAGCGTACCCGTCGTCGAGGGAGAATGTGATGAGACCCTCTGTCGTGGCGGCAGACCAGGCGTGGCCGCTGGGGCTGAAGGCAACGCTCTTCGTGCGGATCTGACAGACAGCAACATGGCGTTGAGCAGGAGAGCAAGGAGGTTGCAGAATGTCGCGAACATGCAAGGCAAGAGAAAAGCAATGACAATGACAATGACAATGACAATGACAATGACAGCAGCAGCAGCAGCAGCAGCAGCAGCAGCAGCAGCAGCAGCAGCAGCAGCAGCAGCAGCGCTACGCACCTCTGGCCGGGTGCGACGCGTGCTGTGGTCGCCCTGTCATGTCAAGTGATGCACGAGCAGCAGAAACAAGTTGCACCTGTGAGGTGTCATTGAGCACCCGTGCGTGCTGCTGTCTCGTTCTCTCTATGTCTCTGTCCCTTTGTATGTATGTGTGTGTGTGTGACAGACACAGACACGCACACACGCTCCCGTCTGTACGAGCATGTGCGTCAGTGAGTGCTTACGGAGGTGACGCCTGGCAGGGACTGGCCGACGCGCTCCTCCACGTCTGAATCCGAATCGGCGTCAATCAGCGCGAGCGGCCCAAACTGCACGCGGCCGGTGGCAATTGGTCGTCCCAAGCAGTGCACAACAGAGGGTTAGGGAGGAATGGGTTGGTTGATTCACGAACCATGAGCAACGACACGGGACAAAACGCGTCAACACGTGCGTGCGTGTCACGAGTGGGACCGAAAAAGAGCAATAGCGGCAACAACAACACAAACGCCACGCTTCACGCGTCTGCCACCACCACAACAGCAGCATGCGAGCACACCTCTGTGTTGAATTTGCTGTTGAGCTTCGACTTGATGCCGTCCATGGAGAGGTTTTCGCTGACGGAGAAATACGCCAGCAGCACCTGCTGCTCAACCGAATACAGGCACACTGGCAGCGCGCACGCAATACAGGCGATAAAGACGGCGGGGTTGGAGATGGAGATGGAGATGCGCAGGCACGGCAATCACGGGAAAGTGAGATGGGTGCTCGAGGAAAGGGAACGTGAACACGAGCAAGGGGAGAACGGAAGAAGCAAACCAACCAGCCAAACAACCAACCAGCCAAACAACCAAACAACCAAACAACCAAACAGCCAAACAAACAAACAAACAAACAAACAACCAAACAAACAAACAAACAACCAAACAAAACAAAACAAAACAAAACAAAACAAAACAAAACAAAACAAAACAAAACAAAGCCAGCGCAGCGTCTCAACGGACCGAGCTTTGTGCGACCGCCAGCGAGGACACACGATCCGTCCGGGGAGTAGGCGAGGGAGGTCCAGCAGAGGGCCTGGTTCATGTGCTTGGACGACACAAGATCCGTATCCCGCCGCCCGTTGCGAATGTCCCGGCGGCAGTCCAGCGAACCTGCCAGGTGTCGTGGCGGCGGCGGCGGCGGGGTTGATGGTCGTAGAGTGGCAATGTGAGGTGGTGGAGTGGGGTGGAATTGTGGAAGGGTTGGCAGAGGACAGATGCTGCGGTGATAGAGCAAACGATCGCGCCATGTGCACATTCGTGCATTCATTCAAAATCACCGCAACGCACGCACGCACGCACACACACACACACACAAACACACGCACGCACGCACGCACGCACGCACGCACACACACACACACACACAAACACACACCATCGCTCACTCTCCAACTCCGCCAGCACGCACCGAGCTCGATCATCTTGTGGTAGTCCCAGAATGTGATGAAGCCCTTGAGGGTGGAGGTGACGAGCTGCTTGCCGTCGCTGCGCTGCGCCATGCACACAACATCCGACCCGTGATCAAGCTGCACACCATGTACACACATGCAAATGATTGCGAATAAGTGAGATGAATGCGTGGTGAGCGGGCGAGTCAAAGCAGCAGCGGGCGAAGGAAAGAAGCAACGGAGGCAAACGTGTGTTTCACTGCATGCACGTGCATTTACCACCCAGACCACCACCGCCGCCACAACCCCAAAGAGTGGTGCGTGTCATGTACGTACAGCTTCGCGCTGGCCTTTGCTCTCAAAGATATCCCAGATGCGCAATGTGCCGTCCCACGAGGTGGACAGCAGCACTGCCTGCTCCGTGTGGAACTTCACGGCACTCACAGGTGCCTGGCCATGGGCAACGCAACAAATGCAAACATAGCACGCCAAAGTGTGCGATGGTGAGCTGAACGGCTGCATCCACACTCAACAAACCAAGCAAGCGGTCGCTCCCAATCCCCCACTCACTGCCATCAAGACTGAAGTGTTACGCATGCCCCCAACGTACACACATGCACATATGTACACACACACATGCATACACACACACTCTCTCTCTTTCTTTCTTTCTCTCTTCTCTCACTCTGCATCTGACCGTGTGTCCTGTGAGGGCGTCGACGAGTTTTCCAGTCTGCATGGACCAGACATACATCTCAAACGAGTCCTGGCTCGCAGCGCACACCAGCTCCCCGCTCGGGTCGACAGCAACGCACGACAGCTGCACACGTAAACGATTGTGGAGGGGGGGGGGGGGGCGCAGTATGTTAGTGGAGGCGCAGACGCGTGCGATAGAGTATGTGCTTTGTGGCAGGACGCAAGCCACTGCGCATGCGTTCTGGCATCAGTGCCCCCTCAACCCTTCCTCCCTCCACCAATGCAGCGGGGTCGCACCTGGGTGGGCTCTGGCGTGGCGAACGTGCGGAAGTTCCGGTAGCGCATGAGATCAAACGCGCGCACCGTCCCGTCAAGACTCGACGACAGCACAGCCATCCCGTTGGGCGTAAACGTCAGCCCAGTAATGCCGCCTGTGCACACAATACGGCGGTGTTGGTGGTGGGTGTCGTAGTGGTGAGATGAAGAGAGTGGCATCATCGGCGTGCAAGTGAGCTGAACACTCGCACACACACACACTCGCACACACACACACTCGCACACGCACACACAAGCGCATGGTGTTCGTACCGGCATGTTCCTTGAATGTGACGAAGCAGAATCCAGACGTTGTGTTCCAGAGCTTGACCTTTCCGTCGGCGCCACCGGTGGCAATGACGTGGCCCTCAGGGCTGATGTACAACAACAGCAAAGGCAGCAGCAGAGGGATAGGGTGGGCGATGGGCAATCAGCAAAAGGTGAATGCAAGATCGCCACCGTACGCACGTACACACACGTACAAACACACACACACACACAAGCACGCACACACACACAGACAGAGCGAGCGTGTGTGTACCTGTATGTGAGGACATCCATGTCGTAGAAGTGGCCCTGCTGCTTGAGAACATACGACTCCGACTGCCACTCCCACACCAGCAGCTGCCCAAGCCGCGAGCACCCTGTGGCAATCAATAGGGGGGGGGGGGTTAGAAGTTACACGGCAACCAATGAAAAAAAAAAAAAAACGGAGTGAGTTTATTCGTTCGTATCCTTTCATCTTTCCGAACACAGATGTGCACGCAACAGACAGAGATGCAAGCAAACAGTTATGCACACAAGCACACCAACACGACCGTCTGTCACGCAACCTCATCCCATCACGAGCCGTCGGCGTTGACGTACCGAGTGCAAGCCATTCGCCGGATGCGTTGATGTCCGCAGCGGTGATCCTCTTTTGACTCACGCTGTTCATCGACACCCCATCAGCGACGGGCGTGAGAGGTGCACATTCGATGGTAGCGACACAACACAGTCAAAACGCAGTACAGCAACAGCAGCACACAACACACGACGACCAAGTGACGGCTGGTGCTTTCGGTGGTGGTGGTGGTGGGAAAAGAGGTGACGCAGGCGTTACCTGAGGGTGTGGATGTTGTTGAACTCTGGAAGGTCGTAGAGACCAAACACGCCGTTGGAAAAGCCGACAGTGAGAATGCTCGATCCCTTGTGCAGCACAGCACACGTCACCTGTGCACACACGTACACATGTGAGAGGGTGCAAGAAAGGGGGGGGGGTGTTATCGGAAGGCGGCAGCCACACATATGAAGAGGTGGATTCACGCACACACGCAATCATGCACCAAGGAACAAGCACGTCAAGACACCAGTAGACAGAAGCACACACACGCATGTACACACTCACACACAGAAACGCATCGGCAACCAACCCTTGCGCTGCCCTGGCGAAAGTAGTGCCTGCCGTTTGCTGGGACGGACCAGAAGGGGAGTGTGGACACAATCACCTCAACACGCTCGGCCGCTCGCGATCGCTTCGCGCCGGCATCCGTCGCGTCGTCGTCGTCGTCGTCATCACTGCCACCATCACTGTCATCGTCATCACCATCATCACGACCGTCTTCATCATCGGCATCTCCATCCGATTCGCTCCCTTCCACGTCCTCCTCACCATCATCATCACTGCTGCCCTCGCTGGTGTTGTCCTCTTCGCCACTGGCAGCCTCCCTCTCATCTTCATCTTCCTCCTCCTCCTTGATCGCATTGCCATCAGCACCATCGCCGTTCTGTCCCGGGGCGAAAGCGGCACCACCAGCTGCCTTCTTCCTTGCCTCCTGCTCCTCCAAGCGCTGCTGCTGCCTCATGCTCCTCACCGCCTGCACAATTGCCCGCGACCGCCGCGTCGACAATGCCTTCTTCAGCGGCGCCCGCTCTGCTCATGTCGGTTCATGGTGCGCGCGTTTGCACGTGAGGGCAAGCAGATGGCTGCACCGCGTTTGTGTGTGTGTGTGGGGGGGGGGGGCAGCAAGTGTTCCCGCGCAGGTGCAAAAATATGCTACGCACGACCACGTGTGTGTGAATGCGTGTGAATGCGTGTGCTCTTACCAATCTTGAGCTCGCGCTCCTGCCACTTCCAGATGACGAGCGTGCCGTCGTGGCTCACCGTCTCAATCTGCGGCCGCAGCGATGACGGTCGATACAACAAGGTGGTGGGTGAAAGGAGGGGGAGGTGACACTTGTGTCAGCACAGGCGCTTTGAAGCAATGTCCAAAGGACAGCAAGCAGCACCATCGCACACACACACACACACACACACACACACACACACACACACAAATTCGCAAAGTACACGCAGATGCTCACGTCATATGAGTCTTTGAAGAAGGCGCACTGCACAATCCGCGACTTGTGCGACGCCAGCACACAGGGGCGGTATCCGCGCAGCGTCTGCAGCGTAAACACACGCGCCGTGCAGTCGAGCGAGCCCGTGACAACGTAGCGCGAGTCGTGCGACCAGTCCAGCGAGATGATGTCATCAGAATGGCCCGTGTATGTGCGGTGCAGGGAAAAGGGGTTGAACTGGCACTCCAGCCCTGGCGTCCTCCACACCTGCAGCTTCTTGCCGTGGGTCACCGCAAAGTATCTGAAGAGGCAAAGGGACGTGATAACGTCAGCGTCGAAGCAGTACCGTGCACGGCTGAAAACGGAAGCGACACAGACAACGCACTCATTTGTTCGAGATTTGTGTGCATGTGTGCACAAGTGTGTGTTTTCGCCATCACAAACTTCCATGCTCGCACACAACCCATGCGTGCATGAGTGTGTGTGTGTGCATGTGTGCATGTACGTACTGGCCGTCGGGGCTGAACTTGAGGGCGCGCACGCGTGACTTGAAGTTGATGCGATGCAGCAGCACGTTGCGCGGGATGTTGATGAGGACGGCGTACCCATCTGCAATACATGGCATCAGAAACGACCACACACACACATAAAAAAACACGCACACACACATAAACACGCACACACACACACGCACACACGCATGTACACGTGTGAGCGAATTGGGGTATGTACTGTGTGCTTTGGGAGCATGCATAAGGTGTGGGCTCCAGTGTGTGCAGACTGCGGTGTGGTGGACGATCATGACGCTCGCCCCTGGTGTACAACCATGATGGTTGACTGTATGAACGCCCTCGAACCCAACACAAGATCGTGGCAAACGCACCGACATCGACGGCCATTAGCAGCTTGCCATTGGGGGACACGGCAATCACAGCAATATCGGCACGGGTCTGATGCGGGAAGGTGCGAGACTTGTTGCTGTGCGTGTACAGGCACACAAAGGAAGGAAACATGCCGTGCACAAGGATCAAGGAGGGGGTAGGAAGAACGTGAGTGGAGACACGACGCAACTCGGATAGTGCTGCTCGATGCACTGCAACGTGTCACGTCACCATCAGCTGAGACGACACGCAGCGACGATGTCGCACCCGTTTCAAATCGCTGTCTCTTCTTGCCCCCACCCTCTCACTTTCCATTCCTCTCCCACATCCTTTGATCCCAGCCACACATCCTTTGATCCCAGCCACTGAGCGGCCTATCATCAGACAAGAGCCAGTCCTCAACAAAAAAAGGTTGAGACATACTTGACAAGGTCGAAGATGGCGACGCGGTTGCCGACAGGGCTGCAGATGGAGTTGCCATCTGGAAGAAACGCCAGGTTGGACAGCTTAAAGTCCACCTTCATCGTTGCGGCCAAACAGAAGGAACAACAAGATCAAGGCGTGCTGGTTGATGTGACCGAGAGGGAGAGAGGGAGAGAGGGAGAGAGGAAGAGGTACAAGTTGGTGTTGTCAAACCAACCACAACAGGAAGCAGGCAGGCGCAGCAGGTGCAGCGTGCGTTCTGTTGTTGTGTGTGCTTTGCTGTGCACGTGGATGGGTTGAATGCTGTAATCAGGACGATGGCCTATTTATAAGACTTCATTTACAAGCGGGGCCAACAACAACACACAACAACAGACAACAAACAAGCACAACGATGACGGTGCTTGTGCAGCGGCTGATTGGACACTTGACGCCACTGCTGACCCGCTGTGTCGGGGATGGCGATGGGGACGGGCAAGACACCTCGCACCCATCCGGTGCCCCCCGGCCGGCCTCGTCATTTGCATCAGCACGCCCCACCACCAATCACAGCACCAACGCCAACAACAACAACAGTGACAATGGCGGCGACAACAAGAACAGCAGCAAGAGCAGCAAGAGCAACAAGGACGTGGTGGATGCCGTTGCACGGGCGTTGATCGTGGGTGGCATCAAAGGATTTGGCCGGGAGGCCCCGCACTCGTGCTTGGGCGTGTACAAGGCGTTCTTGCCATGGTTGTGCGAGGAGCACGGCGACTGCATCCTTCTCGCGCAGCTGCGCGCCGACGACGTGGATCCAGCCACGCTGCTGGCAATCAGAAATGCGGGCGAGCGCGTGTGCCTCTGGCAGCGTGCACACATGCAGACGGAGACCGCCCTGCTTGCCACATACTTTTCCACGACCCTGACATACTTCAATGACTACTATCACGAGATGGAGCGCAAGCAGGTCATGAAGCAGTTGGGCAGCGACCAGCTCCTGCGCGGCACGGGCAAGCGATCACGCCCGTCGAAGCGAAGCACCACGGCGTCGCCTGCAACGCCAACGCCGCCACGCAGCAGTCCAACAGCTGAGGACCCTGCACACGCCAGCTCCACGACCGCGACATCAGCGAATAGCAAGAACCCGCCACAAGCGAGCACGGCCGCCGATTCGCGGCAGCGGGAGAAGAGCAGTCTCGCTGAAAAACAGCAGCCAACAATAGCGGCAACAGCAAAGCAGAAGTCGTCACAGCAACGAGGCGGCGCCAAAGCCAATGACAGTGTCACCGCGCCAGACCAACCAGATGCAGATGAAACAGCTTCAAGGCCCTTGGATGATCACAAGTCCCAACAACCAGTGACCAGTGACAGCAGTGGTGTTGAGATCCACACGGGAGCGCACGATGCGCCAGCCACGTCGCAGTCGCATGGAAGCGGCGCAAACAAGCGGCGCGCAATGCCGCGTCTTGGCCAGTTGCAGCTGTCACGCGCACCGAGTGCCCGCCATCGCCGTGGTCAGCCCGGCAACGGCCGCCACAGTGGCGACGGAAGCAAGTCCGGTGGAGCAAGCGGTGTCACCGCGGTGTGCCACACCCATGGTGACGGCACGCCGTTGGGCTCGCAATCACATGCCCATGCAGGCAATGCATACGCGTTTCTCGATGGGTGGACGGTGCTGGCACACGGGCGCGCGCGCGGTGCGGCGGAGCAGCTGAGGCAACAGCTCGGGGTGGCAACGGCGGTGGTATTGGATGCGGATGTGCAGTCCTATCTGCAGGGTGGAACGGGGCTGGCGAGTGGCCACGACGCGCGTGGTCGAAGGGAGAGCGGGAAGGAGCATCCACGGGGTGGACGCAAACTGCTGCCACCGTCATCGCGACTGCAGCAGGCATCCACGCCACATGCACACGCTTCAGTTAGCAGCGGCGGTGGCATGAACGTTGGACAACAACAACCACAACCACCTGTTGCAGGCGCAGGGAAGGCAACACCAGCAACAGCAACAGCAACAGCAACAGCAACAGCAACGACGAAGACGACGCTGCTTGGTGTGCCTGGTGTTGAGATGGGTGATCCGAACGAGCATGCGTGGTGGGAGCGCAAGTACAATGCCGCCGTGCAGGGGCGCATGCGCAGCGCACGCAATCGAACAGCGGCAGCGAGTGGTGGCAGGAAGGGTGGCACGAGTCGTGATGGCGGTGGCGGTGATGGTGGTGATGTTGACGACCGTGATGTTGACGATGACGTGTTGGAACTGTTGAGTGATGACGACAGCAGCGGGTCTGAGTTGGACGAGCAGCTGATCGACGTGCCCGTGGGGGGCAGGCGTGCACGCAAGGATGATGATGATGATGATGACGACGACGACGATGATGATGACGAGGAAGAGGATGAGGATGAGGATGAAGAGGAAGAGGAGGGTGATGATAGTGATGATGTATTCTCTGACAAGGAAGACAGGGATGCAAGTGTCAAGTGATGTGACATGGTGTGTGTATATGTGTGTGTGTGTGTGTGTGTGTGTGTGTGTGTGGCATTTACGCGCGCACGCAAGCTTGGCGTCATTGCATGTTGGCTTGTTCTCTTGCTTCTGGGTCATTTATAATGGATTGAGAGTAATGTAACAGGGTGGCACGCCGCCAAGTACAATGTGTGTGTGTGTGTGTGTGTGTGTGTGTGTGTGTGTGTGTGTGTGTGTGTGTGTGTGTGTGTGTGTGTGTGTGTGTGTGTGTGTGTGGAGAGAGAGAGAGGGAGAGAAAGGACGGAGGTGGCAAACAGCTATGCGAGACGGGGGCGGGGACGACATCAAGTCAGGATGTCACAGCAGCAGAGCAAGCATGCACATGCGGCGAGGCCGGCGAGGAAGCCCTCTGCTTGCGAGTTCTGGTTTGGTCTGTTGCCTGTGTTGGAGTATTGCTGGTTGTAATGACTTGGGGGAGGCGCAACCTGTGGTTGCTGTGTTGTGTTTGCATGTGTGTGTGTGTTTGCATGTGTTAGTGTGTTTGTGTGTGTGTGTGTGTGTGTGTTTGCATCAGGGGAAGGAAGAACATGCGGCGGCAGCAGCAGCAGCAGCAGCAACACGTGAAGAGCAGATTCGAAGGAGACAAACAACAGCACACACACATGTGTACGTATACGCGACGCCTACCGATGTGACGTATCCGGGGCCGTAATGCTGCGCGTACGGGTACTGCTGTTGCCCATAAGGTGGGGGAGCATAGTACTGCTGTTGCTGCTGTTGCTGCTGTGGTGGGTAATAGCCATAGCCGTAGCCCTGCTGCTGCTGCTGTGGTTGTTGGTGTTGTTGTTGTGGTTGTGGTTGTTGTTGTGGGGGAGGGTATGAGAAGTTGCTGTGCTGTTGGTGCTGCTCATACTCGACAGCAGCAGGTGGTGCTGTGGCATACGGTGTTTGGTGGTGCTACGCAATGGCAAAGAGGAAGAGGAAGAGGGGGGAAGAGAGGGGAAGGAGGGAGGAAGAGAAGGAAAGGAGGGGAGGAACAAGGGAGAAGGAGGAACAAGGAGAAAGAGAGAGGGAGACGAATTGGGGGAGGAGGAAGGGAGGAAGAAGATAGAAGGACAAGCAGGACAAGCAGGACACACACACACACACACACACACACACACACACACACACACACACACACAGAGAGAGAGAGATACACGCAGATACAGATACACACACAGATACACACACAGATACAGATACACAGATACACAGATACACAGATACGTGGGGAGGGGGAAAGGAAGCGCAGACATCAGACACGACGTGGGATGTGTACGTGTGCGTGTTGGGGTTGGCGCAATCGTGGCACAGACAAGGTGCACGCAAGCATACGTGGTGCATCCATCACTTCTTACCGTTTGTGGGTAGCCCAGAGGCGGCTGTGCATGCGACATGCTGTTGTGCGTCAAGAGAATCCGCGAAGCAGGAGAAGCCAGCTCGAAGTTGTTGTTGTGGTTTGGTTGCCGAAGTGTCGTCGTCTTCTTGCTCTTGTATCCGTTGTCGTTGCGTTGTGTGTGTGTGCAGAAATGTCAACAACAATTTCACGCACAGACTTGTTTGACGAACACGCATCATCAGAGCCAGTGACCGCTGTGTTGGGGTGTTGTTGTCTTCCTTTCCTTCTGCCTTCCTTCCCTTGCCTTGTCCTCCTGTGCTGTTCTCGGTGTCATGTCGCGGAGTGGGGATTTGACGGCGATTGTGCTGGACGTTGGCCCGTCCATGAGCACGAAGCTGTCCTCGGGCAAGTCGCACCTTGAGACCGCCGTCAAGGCCATCGATCTCTTCGTCCAGCAAAAGGTTGGTGTGTGTCCAACTCTTGCTTGTGCGCGAACTTGTCGCTCAACCCATTCACATTCACACAGACGCACACACACACATTCACACACACACATGCACACACTTCGCGCACACACGCACACATGCACACACACACATGCACATTCACACACACACCCATTCACACACACGCACACACATGCACACACTTCGCGCAGGTTCTGCACACGAAGAAGGATGAGGTGGCGCTGATTACGTTTGGCGACAATGAAACAGACAACCCGCTCGCCAGCGACGGCGAGTACCAGCACATCTGCGTGCGGCGCACCCTCACCTCGCCAGACCTCGATCTTCTCCGCTTCATCGAAACAGAGATCCAGCCAGGCGATCAACCCACAGACTGTGCGTTTTGGCAGTGGCGGCGGCGGCGGCGGCGATGGTGGTGGTGGTGGTGGTGGTGGTGGTGGTGGTGGTGTGTGTGTGTGTGTGTGTGTGTGTGTGTTTATGTGCTCGTTTGTTGGAATAGGCAGCATGCACGCTTTTCGCATTCACCCCCCCCCCCCCCCACACACACACACACACACTCAGTTGTGGACGCGCTTGTGGTTGCGCTGGACTGCCTGATCACGGGCGGGGAGAAGAAGAAGGGCGACAAGAAGATCTACATGTTCACGGACGCAGGGTCCCCCGTCAATGACAGCTCGCTCGACCAGATTATCGACGGCATGAAGGCGCACGGCATCGATCTCCGCGTCATGTGCGTATACACACCGTGTAGCAGTGGAGCCAAGAAGGGGTTGTTTGAATGCTTGCGTGCGTGCGTGCGTGTGTGTTCGTACACCTGTGCATTTCATTGCTGTTGCCATGTGACCATGCCAAATGCGTTGTTGCGCTGCTTGTGTTGTTGTTGTTGCACCAGTGGTGTCGGCATCGACGAGGACGGAGACGAAGACGACGAGTCTGTCGCCCACATGACGCAAACGCAGGTGCGTCATGTATGCGTGCGTGCGTGTGTGTGTATGTGTGTCTTTGTGGTGTTGGATAGGGGTTGCACTGCACGTATCGAACAGGCTGCCTCCTTTCACACCAATGACACGCGCGTGTGTTTGCAGAAGGAGAATGTGCAGATTATCAAACGCATCGTGGACGCCGTTGAGGGCGAGGTACGGGGCCCTGCTCTGCTGTGTGTCCTCGTGTACTCGTGCATGTGTGCGTAGTCGTGTGTGTGAGTAGATGTAAGCTGATGCAAGTGTAGCTTGTTCTTGCTGTCTCATTCCTCGCACCAACAATACTTGTTCGCGCCCTCTGCACATCCACCCCATCTTTGCCGTGCACATGTGCACACAGATCCCCGTGTTTCTGTACACGGAGGAGAAGCGGGAGCCGCGACCAACGCTCAAGAAACTCTCAGCACTCGTCGACCTCGTGCGTTGTGGCCGTGGGAGGAGGAGAGGAGGGGTGGGGTGTCAGTACCAGCAACGACGCGGTGTTGTGTTCCACAAACGTAAATGCGTACATGCTCACATGCACATGCACACGCACACACAAGCTCTTACGCATACGCTCACTTACATGCACACCCACGCGCACGCGCATGCGCCTAATACACAACCTACAGGACCCAACGGACGCGGACTCTGCGAAAGTTGAGCGGGAGGTGACATATCACAAGCTGGACGAGGACGAAACAGAGGTGCACATGGACGTGCGATGATTGCTCTCTCTCTCTCTCTCTGTGAAACTTGAAGAGACACGCACGTGCTTCTTGGAAGCTTGTCAGGTTGCACTTGATTGACATATTCTCACCACAGCCTTCGCCACCACCACCACCACCACCACAACAACAACAACAACAACAACAACAACAACAACAACAACAACAACAACAACAACAACAACAACAACAACAACAACAACAACTCCCCTGACATCACACGCCCCTCCCCCCTCCAGGTGCCTGGTGAGGAGCGCATCAAGGGCTACCGCTACGGGCGCACAATTGTGCCGTGGGAAAAGATGCACGAGGAGAACCTCACGCTCAAGCCCGACAAGGAACTCTCAGTCATCTGCTTCACCCACCAGGACAACGTGCGTTGTGCGTGTGTGTGTGTGTGTGAGGAGACACAACGATGCTCACGATTGGCAGACTGTTCTGCATCATCTCAACTCATCCCTTCTCCCTCTTCCCCCCAATGACACACTCCACACCACCCTCTCGCCCGCAACGGCCAAGACAGGTCCCGCGCCACCACCAGCTTGAGCCGCTGCTGTGCGTGCTGCCGGCCCACGACGACGAGGACGCTGCGCGCGGGATTGCGTGTCTGGCGCAGGCGCTGCACGAGATGGAGTCGGTCGCCATTGTGCGATACGTCTTCAGGAACAAGGCCGCCCCAAAGCTCGGCATGCTCTTCCCGGTCCGAGCCAAATTGGAGATGGTGAACGGAAGGGAGTGGTTGTTGTTGTTGTTGTTGTTGGAGACATGATTTTACATATGTGTGTGTGTTCCTGTGCCTGCCACTCCCCCAGTCACTCACTCACACTCAAACTCCAACTCACCCCATCCCGCCCCCCCCCACCCCTTTGTTGAAACAGACGATCAGCGAGGAGTACAAAGGCCTGTACTACGTGTCGCTGCCCTTCCGTGAGGACATTCGGCCCTACGAGTTTGCGTCGCTCGCAAAGAACAAAAACGCGGACTTTGACAAGGAGCAGCGCGCCGCCGTGGAGGATGTCATTGCCAGCATGGATCTCATGAAGGGCTACGTCGTACGTTTCTCGTGTCGCCTGGTTTTTTGTTTGTTGTGTCGTTTGTTTGTGTTGTGTTTGTTTTGTTTGTTTGTTTTGTGTTGCTTGTCAGTTGGGTTTGTTTGGTTTGTTGCACTGTGTGTGTGTGTGTGTGTGTGTGTGTGTGTGTGTGTGTGTGTGTGGAACAGCTCCATTGTGCCCCCCTTTGTGCCCTCACCCCATCCACAACCGCCCTCCCCACCTGTTGCTGCGGTTGCGCAGGACGAGGACGGCGATGAGGTGGAGGCGTACGAGCCAGAATACACCTTCAACCCGGCCATCCAGATGTTCTACCAGGTGACAGCGCCGTGTGTGTGTGTGTGTGTGTGTGTGTGTGTGTGTGTGTGTGTGTGTGCACATGTATGTGTGTGTGCGTGTCCGTGTGTGTGAGTGAGTCCCGAAAATAAAATTGGATGGATGTCCCACCTGATTAATCAAATTTTTTTGAATGATGACACTTGGACGGATCTTGCCTGGTTCTGTTCCTCTTGCTGGACTTCAATTCACCAACCAGATATCGAACTGCTCCTTCATCAATCACCTGGTCCAATTCAGCATTGATATCCATG